CTTATAACTTCTCAACATTCATCTCTTGATTCTTACGTAACTACTATCCTATTGACCATCCGGTAAAATTCTATTCCTTCTTTGTTTCTTATATTACGCAACATAGCAACTTCCTGATTACTTTGAATATTAATAATCCTCTCTCTTCCAATTACTGAATGTTAATTTAAATGTCATTATGTAATTATTACGTAACGTATCCACTCGATGAGTATTATATTATTATTGTAAAACGTATATATATTAGTGTAGAGCCATGATGAAAAACTAATTGAAAAGAAATTTCTTCGCTCAATTCGTTCCTTCTTTATTTTACCAAATGGCAAAATGGGTTTTTCTATTTACTAATTATCAATTACTGAAAACAAGTATTGCCTAAGGTGAGATAATGACTGTACTCGATATACCGTATTAAAAGACGTGTCAATGTTCTCTATGATCCGCGGCGGTTTATCTATAGTTCCAAAACAACCACAGTGTATCGACATGAAATAACCAACATCAAAATCAAAGCATTGGTAACTGTAAGGATAAAGAGAAAATGGTTCGAATTGGGGAAATGAATGAGTGGAATAAAGAATGTGAAATAATACCGAAATTCGGAATTTAAGGTAAGCAAACGAGGGTATATATCATGGACATTACGATCGATTGTAAGTTGTATAATCCGATGTGTCCATCCAGTGACCACGTAAATCATGTGGACCAGAAATACGTAGTCATTACCTATTAATCTGGTTCACAAATGCAGTCAATGACTTAATCGATTGGTGCCACAGTTTAGTTTGGCCTACGCACAATTTTCCAACCTACTGAGACTCCGTCCAATCTCATGAGTCCAATTAGATGGCGATTTAGTATATGAATCCATGTCGGATACCCTCACTCAGCAAAGATCCACAAACTCACTTACTCATTAACCATACTCGCCCAGTAACATGTATAAAACGAAGACAGTTCGAATATATGTGGATGTGCTTAATTCCTTTAATTATTTCAATTATTCACTTCCATATCAAGGGATTTACCATTTACCCTATAAAGTAAAAATAGCGAAAATATGAGGACACGTATGAGGTAAATACTATTTATACCAATAGTTTTTTATCTGTTTACAAATTTTTGTTAAAAAAACATATTCGATAGAACCTTAATGTGCACACATCAAACATGGAACGATGAACAAATTCGTCAAACGATCTATTTAGAATGACTTTGAAATGACGGAACGATTATCGTTTTGTAGCTCTTCTTTGTGCTGTCAACATCTGGACAGTTATGTTCGCCGAAATTTCTGATGTTTCAGTCTCTAACACTGTACTTTGAATCATCAACTATTAGATCAGATCTTGTTTGAAATTTCCACTCATTGCTGGATGGAATTGGGCCAGAATTTATAGTAATTCTCTGGTGTAATCTTGATCACTAATCTACCGTTTCCCTATTACAGTTAATGTCTGTAGTTATTCACAAACATTCGTATGAGATGTTGTATATCTTGGCGCTTGATACATACTTGATTTTTATGCAAGCACAGACAGTGACAAATGCAATCTTATTCGAAATAGTATTTTTTTCTCCCAGTTCATAAAGAATATCCGATCGGAAGTATTTGACTTGTCTGCTTTTGTCATGTTATCACTTAGCATTTTAGTCCTGGTGGTTAACTCCCTAATAGACGAAAGATAATAATAATAATAATAATAATAATAATAATAATAATAATAATAATAATAATAATAATAATGTCAATGAAATATATGTCCTGTTTGACTTCCTGTTTATTCTATCAACAAATCTCCTTAATAGCAACTTAGATATCAAAGGTTAAGTGTGAATGTGTTGAAAGAATGTATATTTCAGACATTCGATAGTGCAAGCAAGCAATGAGAAATGGAAAGAAATGCATGTCAGCTAGATTGGTAGGAATAACCAACTCAATTTTATCAAACGTAACTCAGCATCTATGGTAGTGAAAGAAATATAAACAAGTAAGTAGACAGATACATAAATCCGCATTGCCACCTACATCAATGACAGAATGACTGTAAAAAATTGAATGAATTTATCAGTCCAAAAGTTAAGATAATTCGTATAAAACAAGTAATAGCATAGAAGCTGCTACATTATGTATAACACGAATCAGAAAGTTTGTCAGTTTCCAAGTTGTGTCTACCACAGAAATTCTTAACAATATGATTGAGAGCTCTCAAATGTATGTAGCAGTTCTTTTTGCTTGAAAATACTTAGGATTCATAGAACTGTGTGGTGATTTGAAGTTCTTTCTAAATAGTTATTCATGGAGACTTGACAGATGTCTGAATCTTTCTGGATCAACAAAATACATGCCTTAAGTACAGATCTCCAAACAAGTCAATAGGCCGAACCTGCTAAGTTGAGACTGGTGATAATAACTTACGCAAAAGTAACTTTGCATTTCACACATTTAATAAACTATGAATTCACCTATTCACACTGAACTCTGTTAGAGCCATCATCATAAAACACTCACGCTTAGTTAAAATACTTTACTCAGATAAAAATTATTTCTCTATCGCAACGTTACGTTACCAAAGGTTCGCGTCTGTGAATGTTCAATTATTTAACAGACGCTTATCTTCTCTTGAGATTAATTCAGACCAGCAAGTGCTCATTCTTGTTACAACGTCTAGCGATCGTCTAAGCACATACAGTAACTGACATTTGTTTTGTTAGGCCTTATCTAGAAATTCTATTTATTTATTCACTTTGTCATATCACTCGGGCTGATATTCCTCACATCTATGACTGATGTCAACAAAAAATATGGATATCATTCTGTCACTGCATTTAAGTGGAAATGAGACTTCCCTGTTCATTAGATTCCATGACTTATTCAGATAAAACGACGTTCGCACTTAAGTTAATTCCCTAGAAATGTTTCAACAACAGGACAGAATCGAACACTCTTACTCAATACAAACCCACACAAATGCATTCGCAACCACGCTATCAATTTTAAATCGAATTGCAACTAATAACGAGTAGATTTGTTCATAATATTCTGTTGAAATCAACATCACAATAATTGAGCCAAACATAATCGTGGTTCTTATGGTCCCATATCAAATGTTATTCATCCTCACAATACATTCAACCTCACTCAATGTGAAAAATATGTTTTAAATGAGTCACATTCTGATCACATTTCAGATGTTATTGTAGCACATTTTGGCTGCTCTCACAAATCATATATGCAATGTAGAATCCATATTCAATACTATGATGAATCAATTGATATGCCAATTGTTCCTGAAATAGTCTCGAATCCAGATTGCTCAGATGTGATGTCGCTCACATAATTGGAAAAATTAAATTAAGTCACCAATTTTAACAGTTTGAAATTCGTGGTAAGGCTCGATGAGTGCTGTGGTAGAAATAAAGATCTATTTAAGATAAAAGATAATGACTCACACACTAACTCAAAAGTTCATGCATACCTCAGAAATCTGAGGTCAAATGAAGATGAAATGTATGCCAATTTCATCTCGTCAAAAATGTTTATTACGGTCACAATTATACAAAGCATACCGCGTTTTCACAAAACTGTATGATGAACAGTCATAAGAACTCAATATCGTGTGATGCTAACTGATGCTAAATCATAACATATTCTTCGTAATTTTATCAATAACGTGAAGTAGAATACGAAGAAGACGTCACTTCCTCTTACATATGACACAAATATAACAATGTTTCAATATTATCAATATTCAACTCAACTCTCATAAATATTGAATTAACTGAATTTTTGGCTCTCATACATAGTTCAGTTTACTTACTGGTGATTCACCTGAACCGATAACCCTTTTCTTGTTATTATCAGACAATGTCAATCATCGTTCAATTGAAAACTTATCTAATTCCAGACAGTGTCAACACGCCTTCACACCATTCTCTAATTCACTCACATATACAATGCCAAATATCACTGCTTCTCTGTCACTAAACCAGTATGAGTAAAACTAACCATTATACCAATTATTAACACTTCAATACCCGTAGTACGCATATCATGACAGATTTTAGGTGATCAAACCAGCTTGAATTCCCAACTGATATCTCAATTGAAAGTAGATCAGATACGTGAGTGACGTTCACACAAACGTTGGTAATTCTCAATGTGCTTATACAATATATTAGATGTCATTCAGTGATGAATGTTTCTTGTGTACTCGTTTGCTTAGAGGTAATAATAGTAACAGTTTCTCACAGATCGTCAATTTCATTTCATGTGTTGTAAGTATAAACGATCGACCAATCACTGTTCATATTGCATGAAACATCTGTGTTCATTTGTCTTCTATTTAATGGACGAACATAACATAATATTGAAAAGATTTTGCACAATGCTGTCTCAATTCTCACAACACAGTATATTATGACAATGCGCGTGAACTGTCCTCCATCTTAAATCCAATATTCCTCTATTCAGCAAACCAAATTACTGCAAATATATCAGTGTCACAAGAATTGCAGTCGAAATTCGATAAGCTGCATGCTATTTCCTACAACACAGAAATTAGATAGTAATTGAGAAAGAATTCTATTTCACGATCAACTGCATACAAAGCACTGACCATTCCATCACTGTACAACAATTACAAATCATCAAACTGAGCAAGCACTAAGTGGGAATCCTGAAGGGGAATGGAACGTGGAAGTCCAAGGAACACACTGAGACGATTATTGGGAGCAGATATGAAAAGGATTACCCAGGACAGAGTTCGATGAAGAATGCTGGTGGGCGGCCTATGCTTCTCCACCAGGAGCAACAGGTGTAACTCTACATAATACCCAGATATTAGCATTTGAATTTATATCTTAAGGTATAATAATAGCTTCCTTCTTGATACCACTATGACATTTCGAAGTGTTCATAGTAGTTAATGTAATTAACATAGCTAACCAGCTCGTATTCTGATAATCAAGTCCGAACCTGAATTGAAAACAGAATAGAACGAACTCAAAAATATGTAATATATTGAAACTATGTAGTTAAGTATGTAAAAAACAATTATCAAATTGTACAAGTACCACTGATGAGGGAATTTTCAAGTATCCGAAAGGATGTAATCGTCGATAAAGCGTACAAACGACAGAACTGACTTCGTTTCATGAACAAACTTTAGCGAATCAGTCCAGTCTCAAAAATTTATTTGTTTATTGATTTCTATACAAAGCGGATTTAGAATAAAATGATTTCGCTTTACATAAACTAAAAATGTTGTAAGTAGGTACTGGATTATACCGATTGATCTAAAAGACAGTCTCTTTATTACTTTGAAAAAGAATAGATTTATTTCTATAGACAATGTTCATGCCAAAAATGTTTTTTACACACCTACTGAGAAATTATTTGTGGAAATGATTGATATTCAAGTAACTATATTCAGCATAACTAATTAGAGGTTTGGTTTTTGGCACAATTTCAAATATTTAAGTTCTATTTCAATTACATTATATATACATAATGTGATCAATAAATCTATTACAATCACAGCTGAATCTGACTACTATTTCTCTTCATCTCTATGAATTTCATTTACTTCCTGGATTAATAATGTTTTACGATCGAATGCGATTAATAACGTCAGATCAAAAAGTCGTACCTGATAAAATAGTTAGTTGAAAATCAATACAGCTTATTTAGTTTACACTTTGAAACGATATGATTTGTATGGATTAATAAAATAAGAAAAGAATATTGTATACGTTACCCAGACGCACACGTAAACAAAAGAAAGTAGTAACCATAAACTCAGTAAAAATAATAACTTTATCTGTACAATCAAGATTATATAAAATAAAAAGTAATAAAAATAATAAATATTATACAAAAGATACATTTGATATACATACAATGAATAAAAATAAATTATTGAAGTAAATGAGAAACTAAATTTTTCATTCTATTATGATCGTTGTATAGAAAAGGAGTATTTCTCTTTCAGCAACAACATTACACCTGACGGTTAAATAACGAAGACTTCAAACATCAGTCACTAAATAATGAAGATAACTGAAGTTTTTTTTTAAAAAAAAAAAAGGGAACATCAGTTAGCTGTTGACAATTAAATATCACAATATGCATGACACATTATAAAATTAAGGGATATTATGAACCGTTGAGATAACGTGAAATATAGGTTATACAGTAAAAATAACACACCTTCAAATTGTTCAAAATCAATAATTACTAAGAGTGAAACAGTGAATAATGACAAGTAAAAACCATTAGGTTTAAAAGGTTACAGTTACATTGAATAGAAAGAACAGAAATGAGAAAACATTGATTCAATTGTAACATTTGTCTTTTAGCCATCTATTATGTGATATATAACTCATTAACAGTAAACCATCAATAGATAAATAGAATTTCTTAATATGGTCAGTGATATGATGAGAAGAAAAGTCAAGATTCGATTGATTTACTCATTATGAGTTTTATTCAAGATTACTTCTGTTCTGCTTCAATGTGGTGATCATTTAGTGTAGTAGTTGTTTTGTCTTCTCGTATGATATTTTATTCTGTATATTCAATTGATATGAACTATGCTCAGTCTGTGATTTGTTATAACTCTAAGTATTTTTCATATATATGATTTCATCCTAATTATTAGTCAAAGTGTGTGTACAATCAATATATAAATGAGTGTAATTTCGACTAGGGTCGTCGTCGTCGTCGTGTTTCGAGGATTAATAAAGCTTCACGTATACCAGTCTTTATGTTCTTACTCTCACGTCGTTGGAATTGCGGAGGTCCCTCGTTCCGAGTATAAGTGATAAGTGTTTCCGACACAACAATCAGCGACAACCGGATATAACAAGTAGCATTCAATTGACAAGTTATAACAGTCAGTCAGATAGTTAGAAATTTGGTCTCTTTAAATCTTTTTAATTGAGATGAGATTTTGGCGTAATTCTTCAGTTCACTGTTGTATAAAATAACAATTCATCACATCGAAAATATAATCCTTATAAATAAAGCAACTTAACAATTAGTCTAACGAGACTAACACTTGAAGTTAAAAATAATAAAGGGATGTTTTCGAAGTTTATCATCAAGACATTCGAAAACTTTTCATAAATCCTATAAATATTCATTTAATTAGTGTTTCAGTCAAACTTTTGCTTTTAAGCATTCATTTTCAAAATAGTTTAGATAGCACTATCATGAAAAATGACAAGATTAATGCTACAGAGAATTGTTTTGTATTTAAAATTTGAAATGGATTAGTTTAACAAGAAATAATTAACAGTGTATCAACCAGCTAAAATACTGTAATATCGGTCATACCGATATACTATTTTCACACATCACATTTAACAATCACCATTTACACATCTAAGTTAATTTCAATTACCTTCGCATATAAGATTCTTTCAGTCGACATCCTTCAATAGATTATATAATCGTTCTAAACAGATGAAAATTCTTCTCCTAAAAAGAATTGGTTTTTAAAGTAAATCACCACAGAAAATATTTAAGAGTAACAGAAATATGGAACACATACAATACATCAACTCCGCCTGTAGCTCTTCTAGGACTACTGCGTGCCCAAGCCCACACAAAGGAGGGTTGGGAGTGGGGTCTGCAAACCGATCCCATACAAAACAACCTTGTTAAAAGAACGCTAAACAGAATAAACTATTTAAACCATTTAAACTCTGTCCTCCGGGTTGAATAAAGAATTATAATGCTTCATGGGCTTCATGAGGCCTATGCCCCTCCTAACAACCAGAGCAACAATTAACGTGGGTACATGGGATATCCGGACAATGTAAGAGGCCGGGAGGACCAGTCAAATAGCTACGAAAATGGGGAGATACAACTTGGAGATCCTCAGAATCAGCGAAACCCGTTGGACTCAAGCAGGACAAAAAAAGACAGATTTGGGAGAAGTGCTGCTGTACTCTGGTCAAGAAGAGGAAAATGCTCCACACACTTAGGGAGTTGCTCTGATATTGTCCGAAGAAACACGAAATCCATTTATAGGATGTGAATCTCATGGTTTCAGGATCATCAAAAAATCCCTCCAAACATAGTAGTAGGGAATCATAATGAATTTTACCCATTATTATGCACTCACCAGTGATAGCAACGACAACGATAAAGATCAGTTTTACAAGAGGCTGCAATCAATCATAGCGACCTGACAATCCTGATGGGAGACCTAAACGCCAAAGTCGAAATGGACAACACCAGGTATAAAGATATCATGGACTAAGAGAAAGGAACGAGAATGGTCAGAGACTCGCTAATCTATGTGCAATCAACAAAATGGTTATAGGCAACACTATATTCCCACATAAACACATACGCAAAGCTGCATGGATCTCACTGAACCACACCACGCAGAAGCAAAAAGATCATATTGGCATAAGTAAAAAAAATTCAGGTGAATGGAAGATATTAAAACCAGAAGAGCGGGATCGTGGATGCGCACTGCTGAGGAGTCCCACAACAGGATGAAACGGCCGTCCAGTGCTTCTAGGTTTTCAATGGTGATCTAACATCAATCAGTTCATGATCTCATTCTAGATTCCGTTGCTAACCACTTCTTATCTATATTACATAAATCTCTTACAAAAACAAAACAACAAATAATATTTGATATTTTACTCAATCATAACCTTTATAAACCATTATAACATGTTTATTCAATTTACTTCTTTTTAAATATTTTCTACTGCATTGTTCACAACGAAACCTCACCCCTAAAAGTATATTTTATTCCAAAAGGAAAAAATAATGACTATTGAGTTTAGTGGAATAATAAATCAATTTATTTCTATTCCCAGTCATAGTAAAATAAGCCCATAATGATTCTGTGACACATATCATCTGAAAAATGTGATAAACATTCACTGGAACATTTACTTTGTGTTGTTTTTTACTTGTATCTTCCTATTGTAATTTAGGACTGTAATTGATCAGTCTCTTGTTGGCATGTGCATTCTGTGCAGATTGCCTTGATATTGCCTTAAGTTACAAGCTTTTTAAGCAAAGATGGTTAGTGGTTAAAAGTAGAATCTAGGACGAAACGCGCGTCCTAGATTCCACTGCTAGCCAATATCCATCTTTGCTTATTCACTGGAACATTTATGAGGACAGTCAACATTAGTGACTGTGGATCTAAGATGAAATAGCTAAGAATTGAAGTTAGTAGAATGTTAAATGTGTTTATTACTACTAAATCAAATTTTTTTTACATTTTCATTTAACGCTAATCACAACAATCACCAATCGATGTTGCTATTCGTGCACGTCATATGAGTAAAATTGAGTAATACTCCTTGATAACATTTCACAAAACAAACAATTAATCATTCAAGAAGATAATCCAAACAGAAATGTAATAATTTATGAGACTTTAAAATTTACATAATGTGCTTGAATTAATAGTGTCGATCACTGAGTTGGATATGTGATCCAATAGATGAATTCAGAATGTTTTATGCGATAAATGATAGTCTCATAATTCTTCAAGCTAAACGATTCAATGGAACAATACTGAATAAAGGCAATAAACTAATTATTTCATATATAAAAGTGATTTAAATGAAAAGTATAAGTTAACTTATGATATGATGAAAGTGTAATCCAGCATATAATTGCATGATGAAATATGATTATCATCATCAAAACTCACCTGGATGGACCCTTTTCAGGTGTTCCCTTAAGTTGGATTTAGATGAAAACTTTCTATCACATTGATCGCATCGATATACTATTCCTAATGAAAAGATAATCGTTAATATTAGCGAATTTACTTAAGCAAACTTAATATCAATATTTAAAGTGATGTTGATATAGTAAGCCAGTCAGACGTGACCAAACGTGAAGATTACACGATGACGATCAGAAGTGACCTGAAGGACAAGTGCATATACCGGCTAAGAAAATGATTAATTTTCTAAAGGGTAGAGACGCATATATATAAATGTGTATTCATGTATATTGTTCGGTAGCTTAATATACTTTCTGGGCCACTCTTGTGTTCTCGCTTAAGTAGTCAGGTGGGGGGTTAGAGAGTAGGATATCATGCATCTGTATCAGATTCCGGACACTTCCCATCATAGCATATATAATATTGGTTTACAAACTACACATATATGACTTAAATAAATATATTGATAAATGTAACTTAATGTATGAAAAATAAAGACACTCAGAGAGATTGACAGTTCAGCACTATAACAAATCAGTAAGAATTACAATGAAATAACTTGTATTCCACAATTTCTGATACAAACTCTACAATCTGATAATAAGGTCGCATAATCATCAATCAATAAAAACCTGAAAAAAATGTAAACTTTTAGGGTGTCATATCACAATAACTTGAATTCACTAAGTTATTGTATGAGGTAATTTCTTAACTTTTCAGTAAGAAATAATAACCAGAAATTTTGTATTATATCAAAATTGAAACAGTTTATGAATGATTATCGTGCAATATTACAATTGTACTAAAATTTGAAATATCAACCAATGGTTCTTACATTCAATATTTAACAAATACCGTCCTCATCACGAAAACTAAAATTCCCTTATCTTAATATAACGCAATTTATTTGACACGATAAATCTAATACATGAAATTGTGAATGATAGAAAAATGGGCGAGACTATAATTTATGAACGAACCAATCAGATCTACGATAACACGTCTGAGATTTTGGCGCGAAATTCATTCACCTATTTGGCTAAATAGTGTATTGTCATTGTAGCTTATATCAGTTCGTGATGAAAACCCTAAATCTAAGTCCTAACTCTAACCATCAACTGTAAATTATAATCCTTATTCTTTAAACTGCTTTATAACCCTCATTTAGCCCTAGTAAGTAGATATACACTCTCAAGGTCACTTTAGTGTCGCTCAAAGGTTGTCCATAAATTATAGTTTCACCAAAAAATGTTTGGAAATCTTATATTTTATACTACAGAACACCATTTCATTACTTATTAATTAATGAAATCGATGAAAAATGTCATACGTTTAAGTAGAAAGAAAATGTGAAAACGTTTTAAATGTAAAGTGAGAACATCATAACTCACCTTCATGAGTAACTTTTACATGTTCATTTAAATCAGAGTTTGTTTTAAACTTTCGATCACAGTGATTACATGTATATCTCATTCCTGATGATGAAGAAAAAAACAGTGTGATAACTACTAACAATATTCAACGTACTTACTTACTTACTTTCGCCTGTTACTCATAATGGAGCCTAGGCCGCTGACCAGCATTCTCCAACCCACTCTGTCCTGGGCCTTCTTTTCTAGCTCCATTCAATTCTTATTTATTTCTCTCATGTCTATTTTCATTTCCCGGCGTAATGTGTTCTTTGGTCTTCCACTTCTCCTTTAGCCTTCAAGATTCCATGTGTTGGCTTGTCTTGTGACGCAGCTAGGTGCTTTCCTCAATGTGTGTCCTATCCACTTCCAGCACTTCTTCCTGATTTTACATCTTCCAAATCTTCTCCGTCATTTGTGACTGGATTGATGCATGCTATGTTGTATCGTATAATCTTGCTTTTCCCTTTGTGTATATTGAGACCTACTGCTGCTGAGGCTGCTGCTACACTGGTCGTCTCCTGCATTTGTTGTTGCGTTTGGGATAGAAGGGCCAGATCATCTGCGAAGTCTAGATCGTCTAACTGCATCTAAGATGTCCATTGTATCCCGCGTTTCCCTTCAAACGTTGACGTCTTCACGATCCAGTCGATCACCAGGAGAAAGAGGAAGGGTGAGAGTAAGCAACCTTGCCTGACACCTGTGTTTACTTCGAACGACTTTGTCAACTGTCCTCCATGCACGATTTTGCAGTTTAATCCATCATATGAGTTCTGTATGATATTGACTATCTTCTGAGGCACGCCGTAGTGTCGAAGAAGTTTCCATTGCGTTGTTCTGTCCACGCTATCAAATGCTTTATCGTAGTCAATGAAGTTGATGTAGAGCGATGAATTCCATTCAATTGATTGTTCCACAATGATTCGTAGTGTTGCCATTTGGTCTGTATAGGATCTATCCTTACGGAATCCTGCCTGTTGGTCACGAAGTTGGGCGTCTACGCAGTCTTTCATCCTGTTTAGCAATACCCTGTTGAAAACTTTACCCGGTATTGAGAGAAGAGTGATGCCCCTGTAGTTATCACACTCGCTGAGATCGCCTTTCTTTGGTATTTTGATCAGAAGTCCTTCTTTTCAGTCTTTCGGTACTTGTTCCTCATCCCAAATCTTATTGAAGAGAATGTGGAGTATCCTTGCACTTGCTGCTACGTCTGCTTTCAGTGCCTCTGCTGGAATGTTGTTTGGTCCTGCTGTTTTGCCACTCTTGATTTGTCTGATGGCCATGCTGATTTCTTCAATTGTTGGTGGGCCAACATTGATTGTGAGGTCCGTGGGTGCTGCTTCGATATTGGGTGGGTTCAGTGGAGCTGGTCGATTCAGGAGTTCTTTGAAGTGCTCTACCAACCTATTTCGTTGTTCTTCAATGTTGGTGATTACTTTGCCTTCCTTGCTTTTCATTGGTCGCTCCGGTTTACGATAATTCCCAGGGAGTTTCTTTGTCATGTCATACAATTGTCTCGTGTTTCCTTCTCTTGCAGCCTTTTCAGCCGTCGTTGCTAAATCTTCCACATATTTACGTTTGTCGGTTCTGATACCCCTTTTCACTTGTTTGTTTACTTCTGCGTATTCAGTTTGTTCCTTGGTTTTCTCTGCTCTTGTTCGGCTGGTATTGATTGCTGCTTTCTTGTTCCTCCTTTCTTGAATCTTATCCAGTGTATCAACAGTGATCCATTCCTTGTGATGGTGCTTCTTGTGGCCCAGAACCTCATGACATGTTGAAGTGATTGCTTCTTTGATCCCCTTCCAGTTGCTCTCCACAGTAGTTCCTTCTCCATTGAGTAGATCATGAAAGGCCTGGAACTTGTTGCTGAGAACTATCTTGAATTTGTTGAGTTTGTCAGTATCCTGAAGAAAGGCCGTATTGAACTTTTGTGATATTGTCCGCCCCATCGTCCAGTGCTTCTTGAGTTTCAATTTCATCTTGGCGACCAGCAAGTGATGATCTGAGGCTATATCAGCTCCTCTCTTGGTTTTCACGTCCTCCCGAACGTTTTGTTGATGCAAATATGGTCGATTTGGTTTTGCGTGGTGTGATCCAGTGAATTCCATGTGGTTTTGTGCATGCGTTTATGTGGGAATACGGTGCCGCCTATGACCAGTTTATTGAAGGCACATAGGTTTGCAAATCTCTCACCATTTTCGTTTCTGTCTCCCAGTCCGTGTCGTCCCATGATGTCTTCATATCCAGTGTTGTCCATTCCAACTTTGGCATTGAAATCTCCCATCAGAATGGTCAGGCCCTTTGTTGGGCACTTCTCGACGATTGACTGCAGCCTATCGTAGAACTGATTTTTAGCGTCTTCATTGTAGTCGTTGGTAGGCTCATAGCATTGGATGATGTTCATTGAAATGCCCTCTTTCTTTGTTTTAAAGTAGGCTTTGATGACCCTTGGTCTATGAGATTCTCATCTTCTAAGTGCATTTTGTGCTTGTTTGGACAGCATCAATGCAACTCCTTGTGTATGTGGGGCATTTACTTCTTCATGGCCGGAGTATAACAGGAGCTCTCCTGAAGTTAGTCGTTGTTGTCCAAGTTGCGTCCAGTGTGTTTCACTGATCCCAAGCACCTCTAGGTTGTAACTCCTCATTTCTGCAGCGATTTGGAAGGCTCTCCCGGTGTCCCACATTGTACGAACATTCCATGTACCTAAGTAAATGGTTGCTCTGGTTGTCAGAAGGGGCATCGGCCTCGTAACTTCCGAAGGAATTCGGCTTTCATCATGAGGCGCCATAGTTCTTCTAAATGAAGACCTTCTGACTACCAAGGCAGAGTTTAAAAGGTTTGAATAATTTTTTCTGGTTAGCGTTTTTTAGCGAGTTAGTTGTCTACGGGATGGGGTCGCTAACCATATGCCCAACCTTCCTCCTTTATCTAGGCTTGGGACCGGCAGTAGCCCCGGGAGGGACTCCAGCCGGAGTTGATATTCAACGTATTTGTATAAATTCAATACCAGTATTATTTTAGGTTATATATGAGTGGATTACATTGTTTTTAAGAAAAATATTATCTGAATAAAAGACTATATAGAAAACTAGAACCACTCAAGTAGACCTTAATTCAATGAGTATTATATAAGGGATGAAGACAATCATAATGAAGTACTTTGACAATACAACAAAAGCTTCAATATCTATTTCACGAATCAAAAGGATAAATAGAAAACAACCAACACTGATCACTTTCATACACTATATTACATCTGTTTAACCATACAAAAATGTTGAACATTAACAACAGGAGACTATGATTGGAAACCCTAAGATCTAAAACGTATAAAAATTATATTGTTGTGGGAACGATCTTAATTATTCATTGAAAAAAGTCCAGATGGGCATTAAAAACACTGGAAAACATTTTACCCAATCAGCGTTGAACTGAAGTTACTAAAAAACATGTAGAAAGTGAGAAGTCACGTTTTACATTCCTGATTGAACGATTGCCTATCTTGTTACCATGTTTAGTAAGGTTTCAGGACCTTCCAGAAGCCCAAGGTCGTCTGAAATACTATAAACATCCTCGATTTTCTGTACATAAACTAACCTCGGAGTACAGTGTTTTTCTACACTTCTCTCCTTTTCGAACCCGAGGTTATTAGAAAAGCTTAGGAAACTGATGCAAGAGTTCACTTAGAAGACTTATCAATTGTCAAGGATGATTTATGTACAATCTCACCATTCATTGTCATACCTACTTTTCATTCAGACACTAATAAAATTCATCTTTTACAGTGTACTTTGACACATTATTCACTTAAATGAAATGGTTTTATCATGTAGTTGCTTCCAAAAGAAAATTGTTTCCAAGATTCTCTATTATTTAATGAAACCTTCGAATAGGACCAACATTAATACATATGTACGCAAGGTGAACACGAAAAAAAATTACATAAAAACTAACCTTCATGAATACTCTTGTGATGTCTATTTAGATTTCCTTTAAAAGCAAACTCTTTGTTACACACATTACAAGTAAATTTCGAACCTAGTGAAAGAAATAATAAGAATTTATAAAACACGAAAACAAACCATTTGATAAATGATTATAGATTGTCACTATATAAAAAAATATGCTACATATACACAGCATATATCACACAATTGTTCTACAATGAAGCTACTGAGTAACTAGCACAGTAATCACTATTCAACAGTCTCTGATATCGACCGAACAACTTAAAAATGTCTACAGATTAAATGCAGCATATATACACATGTATAAATTTCATAAATCCTTATTGATACCAGTTGTCACAATTAATAAAGGTAAAAATATCAACAATTAATCACTTCATAGGTCATGATAATAATAATAATGTATTTTAAATAAAACAATTAACCAAAATCAGAAAACACCTTAATTGAGTGTTTAGTCAAAAAGGGGTTTGATGAATGAGGGCTCACTAACAAAAACAACTAATACTTCACGATTTGTCAGCACTTGTGGTATTTAAATTAAACCACGGGTAAACCTGACAAAAAAATTGTATGATATCGTTTACACTATGAAAGCTAGAAGTCCCGTATCCTATGATAACATATATCACTCAACACTTTTTACCATGGTACATTAATTGTGAACAAGAAAAATGATTCCAAATTTGAGTGTTTTACACACGAAAATCGCTACTTCATAGTTAACAAAGAAATAAAATTGTATAAAGCATTTGGATTTTTATAAAAGTAAACGTGAAATTTAATTATGAGTATAGGGTTGTGGAAACTGTTGGATTTTTATTGAGATCATGAACCGATCAATTCCAGGCCATCACTGAAAACCTGAAAGCACTGGACGGCCGTTTCATCCCAGTGTGGGACTCCTTAACGGTGTGCATCTACGATCCCACACGCGGGACTCAGACCCAAGACCTTCGGTCTCGTACGAACGAATAACCTTTAAGACCACTGAGCTGGGATCCAACGGTGTTAATGAATAACTTCAATCAATCTACGATATTGCATAATCTACCAAAGACAATGGAAAATAGTCGCGCAATACCATTGATTGGTTGAAGTTAGACATTAACAACGTTGGATCCTAGCGCAGTGGTCGTGAAATTTAATGTTTATTTACATGTAAAATAATGTGATTCAATATGAAATAATGAGAATGTATACAGTAAATCAGTTTCATAGTAGTGCAAATCATTATCCACCACCAAAACTTACGTTTATGAGTAACTTTTACAGGCGTATTTAAACTGCATCTAGATGCACATTGTTTATCACACTGATAACATGGATAGTTTTTTCCTAATAATAATCAGAAGAAAAAACAATTATTTAACACTAGTAAATGTTTTAAAAGCGAATTTAATATGATAATCTGAAGTTATTTAGTAATGGCATACAACAATACAAATGTAATTTTGATAAGTTTGGTAGATGAACACTAATTTCGACTTTCTAGCCGCTTCTAATAACTCTAAACTAAATCTACAAGGCAAATCGACAAGAGAAAAGGTGCAACATGAGAAAAGAACGCTTCCGTCTAAGGTTAGTTTATGTACTGAAAAACGATGTTAATTATAGATATACACAAAACCTTGGGTGCTTCTGGAAATCTTTGGAGCCATGTTGTATGTAGTAGCAGTAAATTCAAATATCCAAGCAGAAACGTGACTTTACTTTTTAGATATTTCTGAGCTTCTACTCGGATAATGTTTCCAAGAGCTTTCTAGACCCCTATAGACTTTTCCAAGGAATACTTATGAACTCACCAACAAGTTTAAATAAGCATGTCAATTTCACAACAGAAAAATTATGAGTAAACTTGAAGTTATACTTATTATGTAGGGAACAGACCCAAATAAAGCACAATGTGCGCAGATCGAGAAATAAAGACCGCTAAGAAAAACTATGAGCGAGTAGAGAAGGAAGCATTGGCTAATGCATTCGCAATAAAAATGTTTCATAAAATGTTGTATGGTCGAATCAAGAGCTCTAAAACTCATATTCTGAATGGTAAACTTCAGAGGACACTGGTAACTATTTAAATATCAACATATCTTCCGGTTTGGTTAGTGATAGAAAAGTCTGTTTTGAAGAAGTTCGGGTTTTTTTCAAACACTAGTAAATATGACAATCGTCGCCATCGGCAAGCAACTTGAATCACATATTCACTAACAACCACTGGATTTTGGCGACGACAAACAACAAGAGACAGTTATTACAACTAATCAAGGAAACAAGAATCAAAAACCAAGTTGTTACTGAAGCTATTTCGGAAACAAATAGATAAATTATTTATTCTATCCAAATTAGACCAGTGGGTAGAATACTTTGAGTGAAAGCTAAGCTGGTATCCCGACACCCACTACCTCCAAGCAACTTGAATAATAAAGTGACTCAACCTCGACAACTGCAGAGCGATCTTCATACGTCGGTAGTGCTTTTATTAACGGAAGATACTAAATGTTCGACGGTGAAACCGAGCCGACAGATACAAACAGTTTATCTGAGGCAACAGAAACACTATCATTTCAAACTAGGGGCACAAATCGGCACTAGAATCTTAGAACAATCAATGGTGCATGAACATAATGAAGTCACTCGTTCTCGCGATAGACGAGGTTGTAACGCTGCTTTACTGCCTTAAAGAGTTATCCAACCTCAGCTTGATGAGGTCACAGTATATAACCATGCGTAAGACTGCTTTCACCGACACGATGTAAACAACATTCTTTTACAGCCAAATCAACACGACGGTGCTAAAGATGGGTCATATTGATATTCATCACTCTGGCTTTCCCTATGAGCAAATTTATCTCCTCTTACCACGGCACCAACAGTATTCACAGAAGTACACAGATACAAAAACCTATTCACTATTTCCAATGCCTCACCACAAAGAGTGAGGCCACGCACAACCTCCAGTAAGTCTTCAGAAATATTTTGCATTTAGAAGGTGTAAAGTATATGTCACAACTAAATACACTGATTACCAACCGATTAAAAGAGATATACTTCGGCTTTTTATAATTACACAGTAGGAAGATGGTCATCCACATGCTTAAGACCGGAAATAGATCATCTAGATCATTACTTAGTCCCTTTAGAGGCATTTTCAGAATATCATCGATGAAAAAGTTAGAGAGGAGTGGTGAAATTGGGCAACCCTGTCTAAGACCACAAAATTTTATTAAAAGTTTACGAAATGTCGAAAATGACTTAATTTTAAATTAGACATTGAATGTGACATGATAAAACGTATACAGCATACAACTAAGTAGTGAAATACCATTATCATTAGCATAACCCGACCTCATGGATCACTTTCATATGTTCAATTAAATAAAATTTAGATGTAAACTCTCCACTACACTGATTACACACATATTTCAATCCTGACAAGAAATAAACAACACTATTATGAATTGATCAATAGCTAAGGTGACGTAGGTGCTAGATATTTATGAGTATTAGTTTTCTCGTTAAAATCAAGTACTTTACTTGATAAATTTTCCGTTGTCATATACGCATTCGCAACGAATTCTTTCGATAATTTTTTCTGTTACAAGTATTTAATCAAGTTGGATAATAGATAACAGTGGAAATCAGGTAGTGAACTTCGTCCTATGTGGGACTCATCAGTTGGATATGCTTATATTTCATTGTTGATGTTCACACTTAAACTTGAAGACAGTAACTTTCGCTCCAAACAATGACGAGTTATTCACTGAGCTACAAAGTTCAGATATCCACGAACTAATTCAATAATCATAAAATTATAAACCAATAAGCATTTCAGTTTTCGCATTACATTCTAAGAGAACAAAAAGAACTTAAAACCCAGCACAACTAAAATCACGAACACCCGTACGATCACATGATATTTTTAACGACCAATAACATCAATATTACAAATACAAAGATAATTCAAAAACGGTTTTCTAACTATAAACAAAAGTCATTAGCTGAACCTTTTCGCATATTGCCAAACACAACTGTGATCAGTAGAAAAGAAGCGCCAATCATCCATGCAACTTGAACTATCTATCTAAAGAACTCCATTTTACTTGTTGAAATCTTACATTACTGAACATGAGCACATCAAATTGAACAGACCACAATGCAAATACGACATATCTCACAATCACTCACACAAGAATGCGTTCAAATACGTCTTAATTAGGATCAATTTTCTCCTGAATGACGTAAAATCAGTAGAGACATCTATGTTAGTGTTAAATGTTTAATTTGTTTCACTGTACTATATAAACCTCAGCTGACCTGATTCGGTTATCAGTTAAATGACGAAGCAACCAACACCAAGTCACGAAGCGTCAAACACTCAGTTTTATACTCTATGGGATATTATAAATATGTTAAATTTGTCAAGTGACAGCAGTAACAAATCATTGGCCAGTGAGCGCAGACAAATAACAAGTAGACGTAACAAAAGAATGTTCCACTTCTAAAACTTATCCACTTAAGATGTCTACTTGGATTTCAAGCAATGACAGTTTGTAATTCGATCAGTCGGATAACATGTAGTCTATGTATTACGTCATCTGAACGAATAATTTAATCATGCAGTGTATCCGACCAGTGAGCAGTATATTACCCAGTCTAGTGTTATATATATATATATATATATATATATATATATATATATATATATATATATATATATATGCAAGTCAAAGATCATTATCACCATCATAACTCACTTTCATGAATAGATTTCACATGTTTATTTAGATGAGATTTCCTTGTAAACGTTTTATCACATTGAACACATGGATATCTTATTCCTAATAAAAAAAATCATTATTATTGTTGTTATCGATAAATGTACTTATATAAATTTAATATAGCTCTAATGCACCCTGAATTGAGTAACCAACAAATCAATTATGATGTATTGCAGTTCTTATCTTGATCCGCATAACATTACTTTTGATTCCTAGTTCAAGCATTATGAAAACTTATTTTGTGATAGATTAGCTAATCAAGTTGATACATAGAGGATAACAAAATTGAAGCACGAACTTCGTATCTGTGATCATGTAAAGTGACCAAATCTTTTATCAGCATGGTATCTATGTTATTGTAATTTTAAAAACACTGGTACAGACACACATACGACATGAATAATAACACTCGAAAACTAGCCATTTTTGGCTCCAAAAAACGAATTTCTCAACATTCAGTAAGCCAGTTACAAAGGTACACTACCTGTTTGATGGATCACAATATACATAGGATTTCCTCCAAGCGTACTATTTGTCACTTTTTTAGAGTACACATTCGAAGCTACCTAACAAACGTGTTTCGAGCTACAATAATCAAGACTGCATATAATAAAAGCGCGACAAGACTTGACATGACAATAAGTTATAAAATACATAAACCATAGATAGCAAACAAAACCGCACAACGGTGAATGACATAACCTTTAACAACAAAAACACGGTTTGCCCGTTATTGATTCACGGCTAACGTTTCCCAATTGAATGAAGGTTCATCAAGGTGATAGCATAACGATAAGTAAACGGATCAGAATAGACCAAAAGATCATGAATTAAGCCAGACACTGCAGCCGATCTTATCGAGCTGGGAAGCATACTTCAGAACTGACTTCACAACCAAGGATACAACCACAGACGCCGTGGTCGCGTGTTCACACCGATTTTGAGAGTCAACTTAACAACATTAAGTAACTGATGCCAGTTGATTCAACCTAAAAATAGCAAGTAGCCGTCGTCATGACTTATGTAATAACGTCTTCCCATAGTTAAGAAAGGAAGACGAGAAATTGCATGATGCATCGAACCATCAAGCCGGACTAGAGACCTCTCTTACTCTGAAGATGAATGTTATGTCGGTTACTGCTATGTCTGCGAAACTAACTAATATAACTTTTTGAGTTCGCCAATCAGAACTTCGGTCGTAATCCTTTTCTACTCTGAGTATGCTATTCCACCCATAGTCTAGCGCGCTCAGTCTTAGCCAATGATAAGTTCTGATCGACACAATTAATCGTGAGCTAAAATAATTTCTGCCCCGAGTGCTTGCCCGACAAATATGCCGTCTTCTATTCCTAGCCTTGAGTTAAAAAGAGAAGACTACAACCAAGCTCCTACTATTATCTCATTTCAACCATCCATCCCAGATTTTAGCCATAGCACTCATGAGATACCAGACATCGCACCATAAGACAAAAAATTACAGATATACACAAACAGGTCAAAAATGTCAGCGAAACGCGGGGTGCTTTAAATAACTGGTCTGTAACAAATCGGAAATAATAAGACATTTAGTAATAGTTAATGACTCAAACGGAAGATTACAATAAACAGAATGTGGAAATATGTTAGTTCAGTTATTCACTAATTATACAGTAAAAGTATAAACAAAATAATCTGAAATATAGTTTCAAAGGTTCTAACTTTTTCAATACATGTTTCGAAATTTAGAAAACAACATTAAGTAAAATCTTTACAATTCGACCAGTAAAAGTTCTGATGAAATGAAATTCAAGAGACAATAGCGTATTGGGAAATGTATTGGTTCTTAATATTTCTATCAATCAAAAAATGATTTTTTATTAATAGCCTGTTCAGATTTTTAAACTGTGCGAGTATCATTGAGTCAGGCTTCAAAAAACTAGTATCACAATTAGAGGATTCTCAGGGACACTCTTAAACATGTACAAACTCTCGCTCACTCAGTTGACCATTAAGAAAAGGTTCATTTTGAGAAAGCTCGTTATGATATCAATCAAAACAATAGCAAATACTCCAGTGATCTTCACCAGCAACTTGAATCACAAGGTGACAAAAATATCGGTGGATTTCGGTGGCATCCACATAATTGATAGATACCCGAAAACATATCTTTTTAGACTCAGAGAACGATGAAAAACGAAGACGACTCTAAGGTAGACTAACGAAAATTGTACGCAGTGACTGCAAGCAATGCTGATTGACAAATGTAAAAGAGATAAAAAAGGCAGTGGGGATAAGCGACCTAACACATTAAAAAAAAAGTAATTGAAGTGCCAGTTGTGAGATTACATCAGATATCAGTGGAGCTGCAACAAACCTAGATGATATAAACATAATGGAAAGGTCGGAAATTGACTTGAGAGAACGAATTTCAGTGATTTTTAAAAAATGGAGAATATCGGATACTGCTACACCTAGAAAAGCGCCAACTTCTCATACATTCAATCAAGTAATTTATGTTCGATTAACAGGGCCACTGCTTCGATCGAGGAAATATTTAAGCCATTCAAAAAGTGGATCCAACAAGAAATATTACATCACTGTGAGCATTCCTTCGAATGATAATTCATTACAGTTTTTGTTTCTGCACATGATGAATACGTTACATTAAATCAATTATTAAAATAGAGTACTCAGTGACATTAGTCACTAGAATCTGAACAACTGAAATGATAACTCACCAATTTCTAATCATGTCTTTACATTGTAATCTATCTGTATTCACAAGTAAATGTTGTATTAGGTGAACAATAAATAATCAATTGTTTGTGTGTTTGAACGAAATTCACTGATATGCTTGAATGTTATCACGAGTTCACCTTAATTGGTAAGCGGAACGAAGGTCAAAGATACGGTGACACGATAGGCTATACTAATCCATTGTTCCCGACCCTGCTAACTAGATCAAGAAGTCTTGATGAAGCGTAGAGAATGTATTCCACAAGCACCCAGAAAATATGAGGTCATAAGCACACAAATCAAGTTTATTTATGAAGTGATAGAAACGCCTTTGGGAAAGCCACAAAACAGCGTACTAAAAAAATCCGTCAACCAATGACAGTCAAGGATTTCCGAGTGGGAAATGTAAGCTGTAGGTCAAATAAGAGTCTCTTGGAGCGAAAACATGAAATTCAAATTTTCAGAATAAAATTACAAAATTAGGACATTTTTCAAGTGAATTTTGGGGATCTAACGTCCTCAACACACCTCCTCTTTTCAATAGCGTACTTTTCTGGGGTCAACTTGCATCTTGACTGCTGTTCACCGATGTCGGAGAGGCCAACTTCCGGAGCGGAGATCAGCTTGTAATTGGGCTTTTTCTCGTGGTGGGGCTATCAGTAAGTTGAAGGTATCAAGCAGGATGTTCATGGGCGGTCTGGAGCTAACCGTTTGAGTATCTGATTCCAATGGTGTGACCATCTATCGCCTCCTACATCTACTTCGTACATGGCACGGCCTATTCTTCTGACTACTCGCGCTTTTGTCCATGGACCATGGGTTGTTCTGTAGTCACGGGCAAACACAGGACATCCCACTTCGTATGTGGATTGCTTTTCAGACTTTTTCTGTACTGGTGTTGATACATTACTCGGATGCATCGGGCCGTGGATCGTTATCAGTCTTCTTCCCATCAGGATTTCTGCTGGGGATTTTCGCTCCCGTACCGTCCCATTTGGTGCTTTTCGATAAACGAACAAGAAATTTCGCAACGCGTCAGCTGGTGTTTCCTTCCCCTTCGACCTAACCAATGCTCTTTTAAACGCATCCACAAACCTTTCCACTTGCTATTCGACTGCGGGTGGTATGGTGGCGAGTGTAAGTGCTTGATGGCTAGCCGTTGACAGAAAGCTTGGAATTAGCTAGAGGTAAATTGCGACCCGTTGTCAGATACAATTACATCTGGTATGCCATTTCGGGAGAAAATTTCAGTAAGGGGCTGTATTGTTTTAGTTTTGGGCGGCATTACAAGGCTGATTTCTAGCCATTTTGAAAGGGCATCAACGACAACTAAAGGCATAGTTCCATTAAGTCAACGTGTATCCTGGACCAAGGGTGATCAGGTTGTGGTCATGAAACTGGCGGAACTTTGGCATTCACTTTTGCCGCTCGCTGACACCGAATGCATTTTCCAACCAACTCAGTGATATGTTGATCCATTAGGGGCCAGTATGCATAACTCCTGGCTATGGATTTCATTCGTTTAACCCCCGAGTGACCAAAGTGGAACCGTTTCAGCACTTTTGCGCTACGGGACTCTGGCACAACAACAATCCCGCCACTGATAAAGTTGTTTCATGTCACCATCAAACTTCTCAGACGACCAACCGTTGGTGACATAGCTCATCGCCATCTTGATGATCGGGTCGTTCCTGGAAGCGTTTCGTGTGTCTATTGCAGACACCGGCAATGCCCATATTGTGGTTGTTAGATAACATTCCGGGTGGTCTACCGCTGACAGAGATGCGATCACCATGTTTTCCTCAGCCGCCAAATGATGATTAATGAGTCGTGATAAAGCATGTGTCTGACCGAATTGTTGAGTGCGTCGGTATTGGATCTTGAAATCATACCCCGAAAGTACCAAGGCCCATCGCTGAAGACGATTTGTAGAATGGGCTGAAATGCCCGATTTCGACCGAACATTGCGAGCAGAGGCTTGTGACCTGTGAGAAGCGTAAACCTCCGACCGTACAGAAACTTGTGGAGATATCGAACAGCAAACACAAGTGAAAGAGCCTCTTTTTCTCTCTGGCTGTATTTCTTTTCTGCTGGGGTTAGTGTACGGGATGCATGCATAACAGCTTTTTCTGACGCGTCTGGAAACTGATGTGAAATAACAGCACCTAGGCCATACGCTGAAGCATCTGTATCTATAATGATCGGCATGGATGGATCGTAGTGCATTAACAACAATTCCGAACTAATTATAGACTTGAGTTTACAAAACGCCGCATCCCACTCATTAGTCCAGTTCCAAGTGCTGTTCTTCGTCAGCAGACGATTCAATGGAGCGCGAATATCATGTATCGAAGGAACGAACGCTGAATAATAGGTAACAAGTCCCATGAAGGAACGCAGTGCCTAGACATTAGTGGGAGTGGGCATCAGTTTAATAGCTCGAGTGTTCTCGGGATCTAGTCTGCGGCCGTCAGCGTCAAAAATAAACCCCAAATAGTTTATTGACTGCAATAAAAACTGGCATTTCTCCTGACGTAACCGGAACCCGTTGACACTGATGCGTAGCAGTAACAATGTCGTGCGTTCCTGTAGCTGTTCTAATGTCGTCGCAACAATTAAAATATTATCGAACTAAGCCACGGCGCCCGAGATACCTGACAGGATGGTATCCATTAGTTGCTGAAAGATAGATGGGGCAGTCTTGACTGCAAAAGGCAGATGGTTATACTAAAACAGCCCACGATGAGTATTGATAGTAAGCAGCTCTCTTGATGCTTCATCTACTTCTACTTGCAACACAAAAGCCTTGTACTGCATATGGTAATTACCTTCACTTGTTAGGACAATTGGAATGTAGAGTTACTTTCCGAGATTGGTCGTTTACTGGGGTATGTTATATAACGCCAGCTGATCTAAATTTACTTGGTTCAGATTGGTTCGACCAGCTAAACTTAGCTGATGTCCAGTTAAATACCAATATGCCACCTGGTATAACATCCACATGACCCTGAAGCATATACGAAGAAGCTAATGACGCAGCTTTCATCTATTTTCCAACCTGGATTGGATCGGTGTTCTGCCATGAAAGCAACGCTTCGGTTGAAACCTGGGGCTAAGCCTGTTTTCCGTCCAAAGAGACCCATGCCTTATGCAACATTACCAACAGTGGATGAAGAATCGAATCGCCTTCAACAACAAGGAGTTGTTACGCCCGTTTCTTACTCTGCTTGGACAGCACCTATAGTTGTTATCAAGAAGGCCAATGGCACGATAAGTATATGTGCTGACTTTTCTACAGGTCTCAATGCAGCTCTGGAACAACATCATTACCCTTTGCCAGTTCCCGCAGATCTGTGTTACTATGCTGAGTGTGTGAAAGTTTTTCGCAAAACTGGATCTAGCTAATGCTTATTTGCAAGTGGAGGTAGATAAAGCATCAAGAGAGCTGCTTACTATCAATACTCACCGTGGGTTGTTTCAGTATAACCGTCTGCCTTTTGGAGTTGTATTTATTAAAATGATTCGGTAATTTGAGTTTCTCATTAAATCATTAAAACAAGTTTACTCACCACTCACTCGATGAATAAACTCAACAAACATGAAATAAGTGAGATGATTCTTAATTATCTGACATTTTATGGAGGAAATATTCCGAGTAGCAATATACTGAGAACAAATCAAAGATGATGGAGCACATTCATGAAGCGAACATACAATGATAAGGCGAGAACTAGTGAAAATTTACTAAAAGAAGACTAATGACTTGGATTTTCGTATTTTCAATTGCGTTCAACGTTAAAAACTCCGAAAAGGAATTAAAATAGGAACCGGAAACCACCACAGTGCCACGAAATAAGTATTAAAATCATTTGAATGACATATGCAACTAAATATCACATATTAAGAAGCTAATTTTACTATTTTCAACAGAAATGGTGCATGACATTAGTTCATATTTACAAAAGCAAACATAACAATTCTCATAAAGTTACAGACGTAATAACGCAGAAGACTATTGTTCAAAAATTTTATTTACTCAATATTTTAAGTGTTGTATTTCATTATTGGGGTTCAATACGGGCCTATGGTACTTACTGATCAAGTGACAACGACTGGGTCCATTTAATAAGATCGGTTCTTTTCGAGATCGACAACAGCAATTTACACAAAACATTAACTAACACCCGATGGCTGACACAGGAATCAGACGAATTGTGTAGAACTTGATATTCGAAGTAGGACAAGCCGAACAAAATGAGTCGGCATAACTCTGTACCTATAGTGACAAAACATGACCTTCAAGCATATAACAATATCCAGTTTGGGGTTGTCGAGATTGTTGAATTTCAGTGAAATCATGGACCGATTAATGTTTGACCATCATTGAAAACCTGGAAGCACTGGACGGTCGTTTCATCCTAGTATGTTACTCCTCATGAGTGCGCATCCACGATCCCGTGCGCAAGATTCGAACCCAGCATCCCCGGCCTTGTGCGCGCCCCAACTTGGAAGTATCATGTACTCAAAAGTGCCTAGTTTCGAGAGGAAATCCTCCGAGTTCTAGTTAAGAAGCTGTGACTAGTGGAGTCAGATCCGTGTCGGGTGAAAGACAGTTACTCACCGAAGACAATCGAAAATGGTCGCGAGACATCGTGAATTGAGTGAAGCTTAATAGTGACACCGTCGGACGACGGCTCAGTAGTTTAGAAGTTAGGCGTCCACGTGCGAGACCGAGGGTTCTGAGTTTATATCCCGCGTGCGGAATCGTGGATGCGCACTCTTGAGGAGTCCAATACCAGGACGAAACAGCCGTCCAGTGCTTCCAGGTTTTCAGTGGTGATCAAACATTGGTCAGTTTATGATTTCCATGAAATACAAAAATTTACCGAACTAAAAGCAATGACAACCAATAAGAAAAATGCAAAGGTAATGAGAAAAATTGAATTACAAGAAACGTGCGAGCAGTTATCGTTTCTGGAGGGACTTCAGCATTGTTGATAAAATTTGAGTATTCTTGTGTTTTCCTTAGCAGTAAAATAACCCTATAATATATCCTTCACCAATAAATAATCAACAGAATAAATATAGACAGACAGAAACATTAATCTTCAGACAAAAACAACAATGAACAATCAAAATTGACTCAATACATGAAACAAACATATGAGGAAATGAAACACCACTCACCTTCATGAACAGTCTTAATATGGAGATGACGAGTAGTTTCTATTGAAAGATCCTTGTTGCGTAAATCATGCGACAATTTTATTGCTATGAACGTCAAAATGATTTAGTAAATAAATTGTAAGAATGGGCGGCTTAAAAGAACAGTAAAAAGAACAGAACCTCCTACCATCAACATTACTATCGAAATAAATTATCAAACGTTTTTTCGATTTGTTGGAGACGGCAATGAAACGCACACACTTAGATAACACGGATAGTTATGAAAACTGAAGCTAGCACAGATCGGTGAACAGGTTCTGTAAGGAATGTGAATTTTCTGAACACTGGTTACACCGTAGTATGTTACAATCATAAGTGTTCTGCTTGATATGAAGTAAATGTCAAGAGACAAACGGGTAAGGTGAGCATTACAATTAGAACCTGAACAGAAGAATAATTGACGTTACCCACCAAAACAGCCAATATTTTACAATTAAATCATCTTGTTTACAAAAGAATAAAACCTCAAAGAAAATCCAGTCAAGAAGTAGTTCAAGCTTATGGAATGGAGTATCTGATATAAATTCTAAATCACATCAGAAGGTAACAGGAAAATCTGGCAAACCTTGGAGCATAGTTAGAACTCTATCACATTAGTGTATACACCTACAACTTTCGTTTACTGAATAAGATTCAAAATAAGTTAAGCACTATCATTACCTCACATACACCAAACGTAAACATTCCTCATTGGTCATAACATCAATACATGAGTCTGTAATACTAAACATTGAGCAAACACAATAAAAATTAGGATTGCGCCTTTCATTTGTCATATCAAAATGGGAAAATACTTAATATACAACTCTATAACCAGTGAATAAAATGAGGAAAGAGAAGTAGAAAAAACAAACAAGATTTATAATTAAGCGAAAACATGACTGACTGCTTACGTTTGTGAACAAATTTATTGTATGTTAAGAATCTTTTAGAAGTATAGCAACTATGACATACAGGACACATGAAGAGTTTTGTTTCTGAAAGTCAGTAACAACGTAGAACTTCGTACGTACGTACATCAGTTCGAGATGCCATACAACATGAGCAAAGAGATGCAAATGACTAGATTTAATTATGAGAAAATAGTAACAACCGCGCACTTACAAGTGAGCAGTTATTAGAGATTGAGTTTTTGAAGTTCTAGTGAAAAATTGACACGTAGAGTCAACCAAAAAAATTGAATCATATTTACACTTGTAACCGTAGATCATTTGAAGCTGAAAATAAGGAGAAATGGACGCCAACTCAATGGTTTGAAAGTACTGTGTTCACTGTGATACCTTCATGCATCGCTTATGTTGAATCTGTATAGAGCTATGAATCCTCAATGATCAAGGGTCTCAAATTAATTCGGAACATATATATTCCTATCTGCTTGTCAATAGTTCTTCACAAATTGAGATAATGGTGAAAATAATATATTCGATCCTTAAGTTTTTCACAGAGTGCTTCGGTTAACATCAATCTACTACGATATTTTACGCAAAAAGATGTTTACTCTCATTTATACAAGTTTAGTACATCGTTATCCAATCTATGTCGAGTCGATGTAGACGATTTGATACTACCGAAGCAAGAATAATGTGTATTAAATGAAACGTAAATAATTTTTGATACTTCAATAATGGCTCTATTTGTCAGCGAATATGGTAAACAATAAAATCAAATCTAAGGACTTTTTTCACAAAAGTCTTCAAAGAAGATGGACACAATAAATCATTAGTAAGATGGGATGTCGAAAATGAAAATTCCATCCACGAAATGGAAATATCTTACTCCTTTGAAATCTTAACAGAAGTAGCAATAAAACTGTACCGTTAAGCACGCCACATAGTACAACTAATCGAACAAACACTTCTTTAGATATATGCTTACTTTCAGATTTGTAGATAACGACAAATAAACCACGTCGAATAGGTGGGGAAAAAATTTAAGACGTATGCTTTTTCATGGGTGAGTTTGATTTGCAATCTCAATATATTAGAATAACGTAAGGCACCTACCCTTTGCAGAATTTTGTCGGATAGGGTTCCGATTTGTTCTGATAAAAACCACACCCCTATCTGTAACAAGATCGCCAACAACAGGAGCTTTATCGGAATCACATTCATCTACGAAAATCACGAAAGATTGTGGTTACGTAACTAAATCGTTAATAAACATGTTGCTAGATTTATATAACAAACATGTCATGAAAATGAAAACAAATACCCACAAATGTTTGATGTTTAGTGTCAATCATAATTACGCTACATGTAAAATTTACATATATAGCGACAAAGAGATTAGTAAAAACAGTCAGTCAGTCAGTCAGCTACAACGTAGGACCAGGCACATATATGCATCGGTCCAGGTTGCCATACCGCAATAGCACAGCAAGATGAACACCGGATTCACAGGAGTGGTTAAGTCAATGGTGGTAATATATAAAAGAAAGATTGCAATAAGGATATAGTACAGAAAGAAAGAATTAGTTCGTAGAAAGAATGATATGAAGCGATTTTAATCTCTTAGTTTAAGGGAAGACAGAGAGTGTATACACCGACGCCATTGTGATCGATTCTGAGCCATGTCACCAACAGTCTCCAACCATTGGTTACGATAGTCACGCGGACCCCAACCAAGTAGTTTGCATCTACCAACATGGCTCAGACTATAGGTTAGTGTCTTCAAGCACTGATGCCACGTTTTGGTTTGGCCGCTCTTAATTTTCTTCCAAACATCTCCAACATCGGTTAGCATTGCACTTCGTGGTAATCGGTGTTCAGGCATACGTAACACGTGGCCCAACCATCTCAGTCGATGAAGGTTCACAACCTCATCAACTGACTTAGACGGATATCTCGCCTTCTCCATAGGTGACGTAAGTTGGCAAAAGCCAAACGAGCTTTTCGAATCCGTGCTGAGATTTCATCAGACACCAAACCATTAGGACTGATCAGACTTCCAAGATAAGTGAAGTTGTCAACGCGTTCGACTACTTCACTCTCTATCCTCAGTTCAGGTGATGACGCAGACCAGTACTGAAGCAACAACTTGCATTTAGAGGGACAGAAGCGCATCCCAAACATTCTGGCATTGTTGCTTAGTGCTACCAGAAGACTGCATTTTATCAGCGTCTTCACCAAACAGGACTATGTCATCTGCGTATTCTAAGTCAATAAGTGGACCTCCTGGATGGAGATCAATGCCCGAAAACTCAGTCGACGAGAATGTTATTCCCATCAGTAGATCTATGATGAAGTTAAACAAAAATGGAGATAGTTGACAGCCTTGACGGACACCACTTGAGGTTGCAAAAGTAGATGACATTTCGCCATAAGCCCTGACTCGACTAGTAGTGTTCGAGTAAAGAGCCTTCACAAGGTTTATGTACTTCTGGGGTGCGCCTTTCACTGACAGACACTGCCACAGAATCTTGCGGTCTACCGAGTCAAATGCTGCTTTTAAGTCAAGGAAGACCACCATTGTCGGACGCCGATAAGTATGCCTGTGTTCTAGAATCTGACGAATGGTGAATATGTGGTCGATGCAGCCACGACCAGGTCTGAAGCCAGCTTGAGTCACTCGTGTTTGCAGTTCACGAGTCTTAGTTAGGCGTCTGATAATTATCGAGGCTAGTATTTTAGATATTATATTAGTTGAACTAATCCCTCTGTGGTTGTCACAGGATGATTTTGACCCTTTCTTATATATTGGGACGATAAGTGATTATGACCAGTTAGATGGGATAACGTCTAACTCCCAGATCTTAGCTAAAATGTTAGTCAACCACCATCCTTAAAGACCTCTGGAGCCAATCCATCTGGGCCAGCTGCCCTTCCTCGTTTCAGATTAACTATAGCCTTTTGAACTTCAGCAAGAGTTGAGGGACCTACTTCAATGTTCCATCCACACTGTCTGGGAATGGAGGGTAGTTGTAGAGTAGCTGAAGGCCAGTTGAACTGTTCTCTGAAATGTTCCGCCCATCGTTCTAAACGTCTGGACTGTGAGCAGATGAGAGTATCGTCTTTTTCCGATATAATATCACTTACACTTGACTTATTAATTCCAGTTTCTTTTATTAGTCTGTAAAGCTGTCTTGTGTTCCCTATAGTCGCCGCCTTTTCCATCTCTTTTGCTTTCATTGCCCACCACTGCTCACGGTCGTTTCTTAGACTGTTGCTTAACCTAGACCTGATTTGTTGTCGCTCTTCATCGTATTCAGAACCTGATGGGACAAGTTTGCGAGAATCCATCAGTGCGATAGACCTTGAAGAAATCCATTGGTTCTTCGTAACTCTGTGGTTTAAATCATTAATAGATGTCACTGCTCTTTCTACAGCTGCTTGTATGTCTTTCCAAGCAGCATCTGGGTCAGCCTCGTTTTCAGAACTACCTAAGTGTGACCTCAGTTGATCCTGGAACCTACTTTTGGTTTTCTCGTCACTCAATTCAGTTCTAATTGTTTTTTTTAATGTGGTTTTTTTGCGTCCAGTGGGGCGCAAGCAGATGCGTGCCCGTATTAGGGCGTGGTCGGAGTCCAAGCAGGTACTCCAGAATGAGCGACAATCTTCTACCGACCCTCTCCAACGATGACTGATGGCAATATGGTCTATTTGAGTCCATCGTTGGCTTGGTGTAGGGGGTCGCCATGTTAGACGATGTCTCTCCTTATGCTTAAAATTTGTGTTTGCTAAAAATAAACGATTGTCTGAGCACAGTCGCAGCAGACGATCACCATTACCTGTTCGTTGTGCCGGGATACTAAAATACCCACCTAAATGCCTCTCTGTTTGGTTTAAACTACCTATCTGGGCATTAAAGTCACCTGCTACGAGTACTATGTCTGAACGTTTAGCTTTCTGAAGAAGTTCAGTGAGCTTTCTGAACAAAACAAAATGACATTCGGTTTGTATATCTACTCATGAGTTAAGTCATCAAAATTAAAACCAGTGTAAATCTGCTGACACCGGACAAATTAAGAGTCAATCGTTCGTGATATAAGTGAAGAATCTAAATATTTTAAAAAGATTAAAAATCAGTATTTTCGTCAAAATGAAAGA